CCATTTTGACACTGGGCATAGCGTACCCTGGACATTATGAACCCTGGCCAGAAGGAATGCTCCCCTTTATTGTAGTAATCTGTTGCCAAAAGCTACGAAATTGTATCAGCAATAGGATTCATTGGAATGCCATTGTATCTGTAATAAATTAGATCGCGCGAGACATTGACAGGACGTTGCGCTGTTTGGTCTTGCTTTCAAAAGCATCTGACTGATTTGGTGCCACTTGACACATAAACTTGCTTAGGGGATACTACTGACATTGCTATTTCAGAATTGCCGTGCGATAGTGGATTTATGTAAAATGTATGGCGAGGGGTCACATACCCGATTCTGCATTCAAAAGCTCGCTATATATTTTTTAAAGTATGAACAAAGTACAAACCAAAGCGGTCAGCTGAGTGACGCTAAATCTTTACAGCGCTGGCATTATGTTTCCTTTGAAGGTGTCATTTTCAATGTTGATGTAGATGTAGAATGAGGTAGATAAAAGTATTTATGTTTTTGTGTCTGAATGTCATTCTAATGGTGCATTGTTGCTGAAAAAGCTATGATAATTATTAAGGTAATTACTCGATACCCTAAGTACTTGGGAGTATATGATATCGTGCTTCTTGGCATCGGGTGCCTTGGCTGTAAATAGGACACCATATAGGACACCAGTAGGTCAATAGATTACCGATAGAACAGACATAGTTGAATTCGACCTATTCAGTTTCTGGCATTTCGCAAGAGATTTAATCAAACCGTCAGGACTCAGGCGTCACACATACCACGGCAAGTTTTTATTCACCATCCGTGTCATCAAATGTGCTTTGTTCGTTCTGCTGTGTTCCACTGAAAGCTTTTTCAAAATAGACGGATGTCCTGGATCGTTTTTTGGTGTTTACCACATTTGTCAGCGGTCAATTGACATTGATGGGGTTGTAGCAGCTTATTGGAGTTCAACGAAGTAATGATTTCTTTTGAAATTGCCGGCTTTTCAAAACACCATAGCGAGATGTGACTCTAATTGCATTTTTAATCTGAAGATGACCGTTTAGAGGAGTCATATTTGAGACACTTGAATGAAAAGAGCAATCCCTAGAATTGTCACACTGCCACGCAGGGATATACGAGTATGATACCAAAATGGTACCCTTTGGTACAATATAGGGCAGCGACACAATTCATTTCCATCAAACTGCAGAAGCTACGTAAAACGATGTTAAGCACTTTCTGCTAGAAGATAAAATAATATATTAGGAAAAAAATATATATATTCACTTCGGCCATGAATGCTACAATTCAGAACGACAAGATTGAAGTAGGTGCCAATAATGGTTAGCTTTTCAAAATCTCTTTACATTACTGTTGTGCTTTTTCACAATGCTGCTATATCCCTATCAGCTAATCCAAAGCTAATTGCTTAAAACGTTTTGGTTCTCTCTGGAGAACGATATGAACTACTCTTTTTCGTTGACATTTTAAAGCACCTTGGGCAAAACAGTCACTGTCTTGAGTTCTCGCTATCGCATGACCGCCAGCATTTCCAGGTGAAATGAGGACGGTCTCTGTTCTCGGCGTCGTTATTGTGCTCCTTCTTCCACACAATGGCGGCCTAACACGCATAGCCGAAGGAAGAGAGAGAGAGAGAGAGAGAGAGAGAGAGAGAGAGAGAGAGAGAGAGAGAGAGAGAGAGAGAGAGAGAGAGAGAGAGAGAGAGAAAGAGAGAGAGAGAGAAAGCTAACAACTATGTCTAGTGTCAGCCACCTTGGGTCTCATTTTGTGTGATTTTATGGCTTATTTATTTTGAAGCTGAACATGAGCACGCCATTGCTCGATATCTATTGCCATTTTCAATGCTTCGTTACTTCAATGAAAAGCACCGGTCTCAGTTGGCTAGCTACACACGTTGTAATAAAAAGCCGGACACTACTGAAAATGTACGTAGACCACCGACATCAATGGCACCTACATCCGAAGAACGTACGCCATGTCTCCTTCGCGTTAGCCGGATGCGCATCATTCAGTAACATATCATTGTGTTTATCTGTTGTCAAGAACGCACTCCTACATCATTTTCAGCCGTATAGGTCACGAGCAAGGTCACGAGAGCGAACAGGATTCCCCCCGGCTCAAACTTGAAACACTTTGAAGTGATCTCTGTGTCACTGCTCGTGCTTTGTTCAGCCCTGGAGCTGTCTAGGAAGGAAATGATGCGTCATACAAGTCGTTTGTTATCCAGCGCTCAGCACCAATCAATTTCGGACAGAATGTGTCGGCTGGAATCCCCCAAATCTCAGATCTTGAATGACGGCAGCTACTTGAGGCAAGGTGGTGATGACATGTATGTAAAATTGTTTTCACTTGCCGGGGTTTCCCCGTTAAGACTAACACTCGCCTTCGTAAAGCAAAAATACGTCTGTCTTGTCTTCATGCTCGTGTAAGCGTGAAATAAGCTCCCACGCTCCGCCGTGCCGTGAAGTATTTTTGTTTCGTTTTTTAGCTACGTGTATGTAGGACATGCATTGCAGGTGCCTGCGTTCTGTTAGGGATCCAGGAAGGTGGTCTCTGACGCCGCGGAGGCATACTCTCTAAAAAGTGTTCTCCAAATGCTAGTGTTCTCTTGACACGTACTACGAATACCCGTCACGACGCCTACTGGTTGACCTGACCTGACCTGACCCGACCTGGTCTAAATGCTTAAAGACATCATCTGTGATCATCTGTGACATCATCTGTTGGGGGGGGGGGGGGGGGGGGGGGCAGTTGCCTCAAATGCCCTTCCCTTGGGTCTGCCAGTGTATCATCAAGTGTCTCTGTGCAATTTCCTTACCTTTGCATTAAATTTGTCTGTGTTTAAATTACTGAATACTGCAGTTCTTCAATCTTCAGTTAAATTATTCTGTAAAACTTAACTTCAGTGTTACATAAAACATACTGTTTTTAGAGATGTGTCAATAAGGCGAATAGCACGTTGGACTGGGCATTGAGAAACAATGCCAGTGACCTGTTTCTGAAAGAAAGGTGGATCAAGTTTCACCTGACTGAATCCGGACGCTGATTGGCTGACAACAATGCAGCGGCTGCTGACGTCATCTGAGACAAAAACATGTCTCCGGGCAAAGGGCCTTGTTTGTCAGTTGATACATCCTGAAGGCACGCTTTTCTGTGGACTGTCAGACCTAGAGATAACCAATTCAATGTAAACTAGCAACACCACGGATTTGACCTGTGATGTATTTTGCGACGTTTCTGAATTGTGATCACCTTAACACTGTTGAGGCATTTCACATTACAGAAATATAACTATCATTAAGTTAGCCTACCAGCACGATAGAAATACCACTGATCAAATGCGATTTTTAAATCGATTCCGCGCTGGTGCTGCGCAGTGTGCGCTTGCCAGGCATGTGTCCATGACTGCACAGTTCAATTCTTACGTTACAGAACCGAGTTCTCTTCTTAAGTTAATTTATTATCATAGTTTTGTTATCTGATATTATGTTCCCTGTCTGTGATAGCCTCGTTCACATCTTCTCAATGGGTGGGCTCGCCAAAGTTTACCACTAGCCAACCGGAAAGGGCAGGTTCTGATTCCGGTCGACCGGCGAGCTGCGACTCGGACCATCAGTGTGACGTCATCTGAGCAAAAAGTGACGTCACCGAGGAGAAAAACGACACTCTGCAGCAGAGGACAGAGCCACTAGATCAATATGACGACGATTTAACCGCCTTCAGAGCCTGAGATGACCCTAGAAATGATGAACGAGTGTTTGAGGCGTCGGACCAGACGGCTCCAGACGTGCTTTTTGAAGATTTGTGAGAGTATATCGCGATATAGTGTCGCTGCTACTGAGTGAGACTGATATTATTTAATGCAGCGCTCGATCTTGAGTTGGCAGGGTGTCTTTTGATTGTCTTGTTTTTACTTTCAAAGTGGAGTTCTAGACGTGCGTATCTTCACTTGACCGAAATTCAGCCGCATTCTGGGAAGGCATTTGTTTTGGTCGAAACTGTCAAGAAGAAAATAATGAAAGCGTGAACAGTGCCCTTCCCGTGCCTTTCAACATACAACTTTGGCAGAGTTTGAAAGTTATGAAAAGCAGCCTTTGAAAATGCGAAAGCAAATAGTAGGACGTGTAGTTCTCGCCAGTCAACAAATGCTAATTAAACTAAACCGGAAACAAATTGACCGTGTTATGCAGATTGTATGTAAATCGTCCAAGCGTCCTCTCCAACGCATCCGTTAAACTTAAAACTAAGCCATCACCCGTTGGGAAAACTTTCTTCTCGGGATATTTTGGCCGCACACTAGGCATCTGCATTCCCTTTATTGACAATATCCTGGCTAAACGTTCTTTGATAGTGCCCCAGATGGTTCTGATCGATTTTGTAGTATGATTAGCACTAAGAAAGTCATCTCTGGTATTCACAATTTTGAAGATGAATTAAGTACTTGATTAATTTATATTTTTGTGTTTGGTAGTTGTTATTATATAAACGACTAGGTCCTAAAGAATGTCAAAAATATTGTCATAAAACGGATTTGATGGCTTGGAAAACATGGCGTTAGCTCTGCAGCGGAATATGAGAAGTTAAAAGGCAAAGAATGCCGCCATTTTATAACGCTTATTCACGTAGATGAATTTGACTGATTGCTGATCTCATTAAACTCTACAAGGATCACACTCTTTAATCAAATTTCGCATTGTATGACTCGGGCGCTGACTTGACAAGTCATATAAGCAGTCCATAGTCAAACCAACTAAAGTGCCTCGTCATAACCAGTTATGGACTGTTCCCCTCACTGACTTCACCTGGCTGCGGTCGGCTGTTTTTAGGGCCAAATACCATGCCCGTGAGTAGTCTGTTATATCGAGCGCCGAAGTAACTCCAATGCCCCATCGCTCTCATGTTCGAATTCCGATGATCGACTTTAGGAGCTGATGAATTGATTCAATACCCCTGCTAACCACCTAACCACTTACTCATCCCTCTTTCTCTTCTGTTCGCAGATGCGCACAATAACCAACTTCTTCTTGGTGAACCTGGCTGTCTCCGACTGCATGATGTCCCTGATGAACATCACCTTCAACTTCGTCTACTTCCTCAACAGTCACTGGCCCTTCGGCGAGGCTTACTGCAAGATCGTACAGTTTGTCAGCGTTCTAAGTGTCACCGCGTCGGTCTTCACACTGGTTGCCATCTCCGTTGATAGGTGAGGCTGTGTGAGGATTGTTTTTGCCGTAGTTTTATGTGATGAGGAGAGGAGACTTGTTGTATCCTTTTTTTGTGAAGAGATGTAAGAGCGAGAGATAGAGAGGGAGATAGAGAGGGGGAGAGAGAGAGAGGAGAGAGAGAGAGAGAGAGAGAGAGAGAGAGAGAGAGAGAGAGAGAGAGAGAGAAAGAGAGAGAGAGAGAGAGAGAGAGAGAGAGAGAGGGAGAGAGAGAGAGAGTCATCCATTACAGTAGGTGGAACTATGGTCATGAGTACCCAAATATAGGAACGTTCCCATTTTTGGGAACGGAGTTCCCAAATATGGGAACGGGCGTTCCCATTTATGGGAACGGAAGGTAATTTTTCGGCCGTTCGCCCACTAAAACTCATTAGTTCATCACGTTTCAAAAAAGTGCACGCTAATTTAAGTATCTACTAAGTCACCATAAAATTATCTGTAATCTGACCGTTGCACAAGGAAATTGACCGTCGAATGATATTTTTAATGATTTTTTGAAGTGACGGAATGGTGAAAACATGGGTTATACTACATTTAACTTGCAATTTTAAGGAAAATGAAGCGTTTTTTACATTTTGAGGTCAAGTATAATAATTTTCGCCTGGTTATGAAGTTTCATACTAGCGACACCAGATGCTGACATATGCAAGCGAACACGCGGACAGTCCGGGGGTAATATTGGTGACATTTGGTGTCGGGGCGCACGACCGCATGGAACGTCAGTGATTTTACCGAACTACTGTTGTAAACTCAGTTTCAGTGGTTAAAAATTATTCAGCTGTATTTTATCATCCCAGAAAGACATATTTTATTTGGATGCTAGCTGTTTAGAGTTGTTTTATAAGGAGCGTCATGAGCGTGGTTTTTGTCTTCCGTGTTTCTAAGCGTGATCGTTTTGGGGGAATTTCTCTTATATAGGTCGCTCTGTGTGGCTTATTTATAATTTTTATGCTGATTTCGATCATTCTTCGTGCCCATCCTACCAGGCCTTTTGCCACTTACACTCATCAAGAAAGGAAAAAACTAGATTTTCATTGGGACGAGGTGTTTTGAGGGTGGAACATATTCAGCGTTCCCATTTTTGGATACTTCCTTGTGCTCGTCAACTATCGGTGATAAACAGACAGGTGCTTGACATGTCTCCACCCTCGGCGCGGACGGTGGATATAGGTATGGAAGACCTTGTTGAACATCGCTGAGCGTTGTGAATTACGTAATCCTGCAGAGGGGGCGTGCCCGCTGCGAGATCGACGGGAATAAAAGCGCAGAAGACCGGGCGAAACATGCGACGGTCTTGCCGGAAAGGTCATCTGATGATTGTTGCGTTAACAATAATTTGCGGCGTTGGACGTGATGCTTGTTAATGAAAAGAGCCCCTGAAAGGCGTCGGTGAAATCGTTCCCAATTTTGGGTACGCCGTTCCCATAATAAGGAACGCTTGCAGCGCCAGTGTACGAGAGCGTTCCCAAATTTGGGCTCGCGGCCCGGATGATGGACTGCTCTAGAAATAGGGGAACGATTTGAAACTACGATGGGCCTTACAATATCAAACTCTTTCCCAACAATATTGAGACAAATATCAGGCGGTTCACGATCGTTTTATATTTTTTGGACGTCATTTAACGGTTCTTTTTCTTGTTTTAAATAATGCCTACATGGCGTTCCCATATTTGGGTTTATCGTTCCCAAACATGGGAACGAAAATGCGTTCCCGAAAATGGGTACGCTTGACCATAGTTCCGCCTACTGATTAGAACCATAGCTATTTTAAACGCAGTAATGGGCTCATCGGGAATGGGTTCATCGTCGTTATTTTCATTCTCCAAACCACACACAGGCGTCCGTAGCCATGCATTCCGTGCAGAGTGACTAAAGATGCATTTCTTCGCTAGCTTTTGGGTTTACCAAGAAAACATAATCTGCATAGTCATTGGCAGAGTAAACAGCGTGTCCAAGCTCACTTGTTACCGTTCACGGCACATTTGCATCGATATTGGGTAACAGTCCGCTCCCGGGGTATACATATATTCTTAGAATGCGTAAGAGACCAGCACTTAATGACGCACTGACTGCTGACACGCAATGCGTTACTGCGCGTTCGTTTACCATTACCTGAGCAAAAGCCACTTAAACTTGAATAAGTACCGGAGCATGATAAAGAAAACTTTGCAGCTACATTTATTTCTACTTGAAATCACGTTCAACACATAAGTTTAATGCTAGCAATCCTGAAACACCTTTCGTCTGTTGAAACGCTTACCAACCACAGCTCACCTGTCGGATTACTTATCATCAAGGGCCTAACTGCCATATATGAGGATTTTTGACGCATCTTTCTCCAAGCACGCATGAGCTTCATCTCTTCCCGCACAAGCAGCGAATATTAGTGCCAAAAACCACCTACACCCTATCCATTCATCCTAACGAAAATTATTAACCCCCCAGTAGGCACTTTTAACCCCTCTGAGTACCACAACATTCACGGTCTACCGGAGCATAATACACGGATCCTGGACCCATCCGGGCCCGTATTTACAGACCGTAGCCCGCTCGTCAGCGATTCGGTGAATAGCGCCGCACAATGGGTCTCGGAGCAGCGCCAGAGGAAATACTCGGACGCATCATTGATTGCGGCCCGGCGACGTATGCTGCCGACAGCTCCTCCCTATCTGTCTGTGTGTATGTCTGTCTGTATGTATGCTTATCTGTGTGTCTGTGTGTCTGTCGGTCTGTGTGCCTGTCTGTATGTCACCTGTCTGTGTTTCTGTCCATTTACATTTTTGTTTGTCTGTCCCTATCCCTTATTATGCTCCTCCCCACATTATCTCTCTCCCTCTCTCCCTCTCTCTCTTTTCTCTCTCTCTCTCTCTCTCTCTCTCTCTCTCTCTCTCTCTCTCTCTCTCTCTCTCTCTCTCTCTCTCTCTCTCTCTCTCTCTCTCTCTCTCTCTCTCTCTCTTTTGGCTCATAACTTACTTTTGCTTCTGTCTTATCCTTGTTGGTTTTTGCTTCTGTCTTATCTCTCCTTATTTCCATTTATGTATCTTCCTCTTCCTGTCCTTTTCTCTCTCCATTCCACCGTTATCGGTCACCACACATTTGCGCTCAATCTCCTCCTTCTCATTCCGCCCAACACTATTATTCCCATTTTCCATTCAGCTACGAACAGATACTCCCGCAGTCCCCAGCTCATCACTGATGAAAATTGGAAAAGCGAAATGCACAAACCATAGATGTGGGTCTATTGTGTATAGTGGCTCGCATCGTTGTGTTATTTGGGAGGATTATTGTACGGGGACCCGCAGTTGCTACTGTACACGAACCCTAAGTCTAACCGTCTGTCCTGTCCAGTAACAAGTGATAACATTGATATCGACTGCCCGTCCATGTACAAGAGCAGCTGAGGTTTTCTGCGCGTGCCCTCTGACAGCTTATCATTGTTCCCTGTGAGGGTGCTGGGACAATATACTCAGGGTCGCTGTACAGTAGCAACTGCGGGTCCCCGTACTGCTGACAGAGGTAATAGAATGTCAAATTAATCTGAATTATGAATTAGGATGCTTGTAATTTGTTGAATATTTGAAGCGATGTATACCAACATCAGTAATAGCTTAACAATGTCCGACTGAATATTGTTGATGCCTTGCTCATATTTGGTTGTTAGATACTGATAGATCCCGCATCAAGCATCCCGTTGTTGAGTGCTAATGTAATGCTTCATTTCCAACGCATTTGCGACGCACCCTGAATTCTAGAAGAACATCGTCCTAGTCCCATCTGTGCGGTGTAATGCTACCGAAGACAAAAAAAGCAGACACTCGACCTTTTCTCTAGCGAACCGTCCATAAAGCAACATTAAAAATACAACAGTGCATGTGTTATGTGAGGTTCTTATGCAACACATTCTGTAAACCAAGCTAGCCTCTTGCCTCTTATGTAAGCCTCTTGTACTGATTATTTGTCCCCAGTGACCTTTTCTGTCACGTCCGATGTCGTGTTGCTACAAGGTGCTGAAAATAACATAATATTCTCCGGGTGCTTGGAGACTCAATCAGAGCACAGCTCAAGTATGGTCGGATGTATGGAGATGTAGGATAGGTCATGTCTATGTCACAATTGGTCCCCAACGAATACCGGATGGTCAAGAATAGAGCTATTTGGATGTGCTGAGCCCTGTTCGGGCAGCGCATCCTATTGCAAAATTTTGCACCACGCATGCGCAGTTGGGGTCTCTCGGGTGCCAAGCTCCGCCCTTCGGCGTATGACGTCACACGTGTGACGTAGGCTCGCGCAAAATCTTTCAGTTTTGCGCAAGAAGAAAATAGTAGCTGCAGGAGGCGAAAGTGGCGCGGATTAAAGTTTACCCTCATATATTTCTTATTGTAAGTGGTTAGTATAGTGTTATTTTGGTATCACTATCTTTCTTTTCAGTGGCACATTGCTATTAACCACATTTGAACGCATTTTACTCAGTAATTGAACGAAACACACCAGTCCATCCGCGCCACGGTTCGCCGCGTGTCGCGTGGCCCTCGGCTTTGCGGGCCGGCGGAGAGGGGGCGGAGCATGGGCGGAGCCAGGCGGCTGACATCATCGCATGTGTGACTTCACAATCAGCAAAATATTTTGCGCGGACCCGAACAGGGCTCCGATTCAATCAGAAGCCTGGTGAATGCACTGATTTGGAGGTGGCTCTTCTGTAAAGCCATGAGGATTTTTAAACCTACCATGTGTGTATCAAATGTAAATTATTTGTTTTAGGATAATTGATAGTTTTAATTCCGTTTTTTTCCGTTTTGACAGACGAAATTACAGTTTAATTAGCACAAGAGGTGGGACGAATAGAATTACGATATAGTTATGCACCTCATAATCTGAGTAAGAATGCCACCCGCCAGCCTCGACTATTTCAGAGATAAAATGACATTTTCAGGCTGATCTGTCAGAGGACTCGCTTTCGTTTCATCTTGTATTATTCTGATACTTAAGTGTCGGCGGATTTGCATAAAACCGGCCGCGGGGGAAGCTGAGCTCCTGAATTCCTTGAAGTGCCTCTCCTGTTTCTCGATTTGGACGCCGTCTCTGGAGAGGCTACGGTCCTCGAGATGTTTTGTTAGTCTGAAGCAATCTACAATTAGCTAATATATCGGGTACCGGAGCTAAAACACGATGTGATTCTCATCCCCTCTCGATGGTTTTGATTTTATTAACGGCGATGCCTCGGGAAAAGTTTAGCTGCATAAGTTTTGAATGTTAAGCGAATGAAATAGTGATGGCACTAGGGACAATCACCGTTGATTCTTTTTACAAAGGTTTTCAAAACAGTATAACAAAATCCCTTCTCTCCTTCACAATAGATGCGAGCGTTGCATCCGGTTCCACTGAAGAGCACGTGTTTAACACATCCATCAACCAGCCCCAGCAAACCCGGCCATGTCTTCCCTAAATCTACCGCCTCCCCGGGTGTTCAAAGAGTTTTCTGAGGCATTTTGTCATGATTGAATGTCGGCATGCCGTGTGAGATATGCAGCCTAAGTCCCTTCTCGCTGGCTTTACGACTCCTAAGCATAGCTGAGAAAGAGGGAGCGATAGGGGGAGGCGAGGGGAGGGGCGGCTGGGTGGGAGGTAACCTCTATGACACAGACGTGTGGTCGTAGTGGCGTCGGCGGTGGTGCCGTCTCGGCCTCTTGGCCTGGGTCAGAACGGTGCCTCTAGTGGTATCTGGTCTTTGTTAGGACCGAAAAAAAACAGAATGTGGGCGCGGCTGGATAGGAAAATAAAAAACGATGAAGCGTGACGTTCAATCTACGAATAAAATGATGTGGTTGACAAAACGTAGAGGCTTTGGGGAATAAGTCACACGACTAGGGAATGAGAATGTCTTTTTATGTTACTGAGAACTGAGAAGAGTTGGTGTTGGTGCAACTGTCTAATATTTTGGTGTGACTGAACACAACGTTGCTGATTGATGGCAACCACAATGCAACAGGAATGCAGTCAAAAGTGTGGATTACTCATATAACTGTCCATGCTATTTTGTGCATTTTTCTATGAAATATCTCAGTACACACATGGATGACGCAGTCTTCAAAGTCTTTCGTACCATTCCAGAAAAGCACGCACCTCTGAAAGGACTATTTTATTTTTATCATTCATAGCTTTGATAGCTTTCAAACGCATCCACCGGCAGTTTCTTCTCTCTCAACATGTCAGTGTCCAGGCATCATCTTCACATTGCTGTTTGACAGGCATCATCGTACTAGCTCCGCACCCGTGGCCTCTGACGTTCTATTCTGACGTCCGTTTCCAAGAACCCATCGTCAATGCAAGCCCAAAGAGTGAACGTAAACCCGAAAATCTGCTGGCAGAAAGCTCCCGGATTTTCAATATCCTGTTCCCGATTGGTTTCACTTGATGCCGTAATATCAGGCGACTTTAGCAATACGGAGCCACAGTAGCTGGTTCAAATTTATGCAGAGGGAGCATATTTGGCGCCGATTTTCTATCTAGCAAGGCAATATCTTGAATTGGTGCTGTTAAAAGCTCCTTTGAATATCATATGTATTCATATGATTTGCGATTATAAAGGGAATATTAGTTTTCTTGCATGAATCATTTCGCGTATAATTGATGCCTTTTCTTTTTGGGCTGTCTTACAGTAAGTTGGCCGTATTGCACCCGCTTCCCACATAAACTCAGTCGTATGCCCTCTTACATGCCACTCATTTTCACGTTAACACAACACCCATTTTAGACCATAACTTAGCACGTCCGTTTTCGGCAGGTACTCGGCAATAATGCACCCGCTGAAGCCGCGTATGAGTCGCAGCTGGACCCTGCTCGTCACAATCATCATCTGGGTGATGTCGGCGGTACTTGCGGCGCCAAACTACCTGGTAAGGGTGGTACCCGATTGGTGTAGGGGTATTCAGGGTAGGATCTGCTTGGTACAGGGTGGTACTTACCGAACTACTTGGTAAGGATAGTGTCTGCCTGGCATGAGGGTAGTATTTATTCTTGCCAGGGAAAGTGTCTACCGAACTTCCTGAGGGTAAGATATGGGTAATGGGTTTTGGGAAGGGCTGGGATAGTAAGGAGGCGGGCATTGATAGGAGAGAGGCGAGGTATATTGGTATAGGGCTGGGTTAGTTGGAAGTCGTCGTCGGGTGTTATTGCCATTAGAGTGAAGAGTGAGGAGAAAGGGTAAAAGAAGGTTAAAAATGGAGTGGTTTGGGGATAGCGTTGTGAGGGACCGCTTGTCGTGTTGACGCTCAAGTGAGAATGTAAGGCGATACTTATGCTAAATCGCGAATGCACATGGTGAAGTCAGGAAAGGTTTGTAGTATATAAGCGTATGAAATAAAAGAATCTCGGAAGTATTTGATCGGAGCGGCTGACGGAGTACGCAAAGAGGCTCAATACTTCTTGTACCTAACATTAAAATGGATCGTTCTCAACTTCCGGCCAGACAAGATGAGATTTGTGACGGTAAAGCCCCGGCCTCGTTCCTAGACTAAGAATGCACTACAATGAGCTCGTTACAGGCCTAATGTCCGAACTTTGGATAAACGGTCGTTACTACCTGGTAATGGTCTCAAAATGAAAAGTTACCGCCGACAGTCTGACGAATAGCCTCTGCGGTGATCTCTGCAGACGTTCCAACGGGCTGCTGAGTTTTCAACAAAGCCTGAGAGTACCCAACTTCTTGAGTAAAACACAATGAGGCGTGACTCGCCGCTGTTTGCATTCTGACGTGGGCGAGCTACCAGGCTCAGATATGAGAACAGCTGCGGGCGATTTCGGTCTAAATTCAGCTCGTCAACGATCTCAGTCTGCTTAGCGTTGTCGCTGGGAGATGTGACGCCTCCGAAATCAGTTCCGAGAAATGCTGGACATAAAATGCGGCCTCCATGTCGAGACGAGCTGCTTCTGGGGTCGAACACTGCTGACGGGGACAACTGAGCGCGCCATCTGAATTGATGGAGACAAATTGGCCAGAACTGTCAATTTACGGTCAAACAATGGATTTATGTGTCGCTGGCGTTGGGTGCGGTCTTCCCTTCCTAATCAGGGGCTCAGCGTCTAGTCAATGTGTATGACCCCATTTCCGGTGATAATTTTGATCGCAGCCACAACTCTTGAAAACTGTTTTGATGGTTGAATTATTTAAGGGTAATCCCCAGAGGCGGTTTGATTTATTTTGGTGCCGTCTGATGCTGGCTGTCTCAGTTTGGCTGCTTATTGGACGCCTGATTGATAGCTGTCGTGCTGTACACGACAGCTTGTAAGTGCCAGCGCCCAACTGCGGTCGTATACCCCGAGTGTGACGCTGAATTGGCATGTTTATATCGATAAGCGCTCGCGCGTTTAAAAGAGCTGTCTGCAGTGGAATGATCTCCGTGCGGCTAGTGCTGATAGGATGAAAGGTGTAAGTCACTTGAATACGTAGGAATGAATGCTTGACAAAACATTATTTTTATTCATACATATTTCAGCAGTCTTGCAAAGATGTAGATACTGGCAAATGGAAACCAATGCTGTTTTTACCTCTACACTCACAAAGAATATATTTCATATGAGGCACATCCCCTTTACATTTTTACCTGTGTCTTGGAACTTCCCACCAGCTTAACTTCGCTAACCTATTCGGACAAGGAGCGAGGTGGGTTCTGCATTTGAATTGAAACAAACAAGGCTGTTTTGCGCGAAGGAGGCTGCGTCTTTAAGTTGCAGCGAGCCGTATGTCATACGGTGTAAGTTCTAACATTTCAGTCACACAAAATGTGACGAAATTATATTACCTCAAGGAAATTACACATTCAGAGAAAAGGCGAATACGAGCGGCGGAGAAGCGCAACAAAGCGAAAGTGGTGGATTAAAAACACATATTGCTGTGGGCTGTTTCTCAACGTTCGTAAAGCTGTTTACTTGCGACTGGAAGACATAAGTTACAATGTACATATGTAGTATGTACATTGTACATGTTGCTTTAGTTTGATATACGCTACATATGTTTAATTTCATTTGTGATGTTTTTTCAAGACATAGAGGATACATTTTTAAAAGAATTTTAGCATACTCACCCTCATCATATAAGGTGTACATGTATGTTGCACATTTCCTTCATTGATTCGTTTCTTTTTTATTACATAAAACTGCGATCCATTACTTCTTTGCACGAATTTATTTACCTGTTTACCTGAATCTGGATACCTACCAGTATAACGCCTTTTGGGGCGACTAACGGAGCGAGCGAGAGGGTGGGCCTTGCACGTGCGAATTTTCAAGGGGGTACCTCCAACTGACTTGTGCACGGCACCCTACTAACCGGTCTCTAGCGATGTGCCAAATTTGAGCACAATCGGCCCAGCCGTTCTCGAGATCTGGAAGCGGCACCCTGCACGTGCGCACGTGCAAAATGGGTCCCAACTGACTTGTGCACGGCACCCTACTAACTGGTCCCTAACCGTGTACCAAATTTGAGCGCCATCGGTCCAGCCGTTCTCGAGATCTGGAAACGACCCCTGCACGTGCGCACGTGCAGCAGCACCCCAACTCTGGCACATGGATATGCAGTGCCTAGTGGGTGCCTACCTACATGCCAACTTTCAGCGCAATCGGCCAAGTAGTTACCGAGATATTGCAACAATTACAAAACTGACACCTCTTCGTTTTGCACGTGGCACGTGCATAAGGGGTCACCCACATGCATCGGGAATAGTCCAATACTTGGTAGAAGGAATGAAGCTACCCTACAAAAATTACCGCATGTAAATCGGCCAAGTGGTTGCTGAGATATAAGCCTTGCAAAAGCGTCCGCACGGGCCGGCCGGCCGCTCATACTCAGAAATTTCCGTTAATCTAATGCCTGAAACAGACTCTTTCCGCAGTCAGGAAATCGCATGCGAGAGCCTATCAAAATACATGTAAGCACGCTCGCATCAATCGCACGCACCTCCCGGATGCGATTGATGCGGGAAGAATTATAATGTATTTGAATAGGCTCTCGCATGCGATTTCCTGAACGCGGAAAGAGTCTGTTTCAGCCTTTAGGAAAGACTACGCTCGCTTCGCTCGCTCCGTAATCACATTACCTGTTTACCTGCGCTCGATCACCTGTTAGCCTGCGCTCGGTTACCTATTTACCTGCGTGTGCCCACAGCTGAGCCAGACGTATACATTCGTATACAATGACGGCGACATACGAACTCTGTGCTATCTGACCTGGCCAGATGGCGAGACCATGGAGAGCACCCTCGAAGCCGTGTAAGTACGATATTAATTGTAGAGGTGGGCAGTGAGTAATGGTACTCTTAGGAGGTAAGCGAATAAGAGATGGAGAACAGGTAGTTGGGTAGGTGGACAGAGGATTTTGTGTAATGTGCTTTGTTATGCCACACCATGCTACAGCATGTATAAGAAGCGCTTGTGGAAGGTATTTCGGTTAGGAAACTGTTGTGTTATGCTGACCCCTGTGTATATGCAGGTACTATAGGTAGATGTTGTATTTTGTGCATGTGGCATTGTGTTTGCTTTCGTTTTGTTCAGTACTCAATCTCCAAAAGGAATTTTCAATGTGTTTAATGAGATGTGTCACAAAGAGCTACATCGCTTTTTTTGTTGCAGGCTTTTGGTTTATTTTACTGATGCTTGTATGTTTTAACTGCAGTACTTCTAAATTCAACGCTACTGCGTACTTTAGCTAACACTTTGTAGTGTCCTCCCACTTGCTTTCACAGGTCCTTAACAACAATATTCCGTTTCGGCTATATATTCTTGCAGACGACAGCTTCAATCCAATGTCAGACAGCGACTGCCCCGACGAGTTCCCAAAACACCCGACATCAGGGCGGTGTTTCACGGGACGCTGCTACCATGCTGCTATCAAATTGCGCGAGCTGACGTCACACTTGTGGTAGTGTTGGAGCAACGGGCCTGTTGATGTTTCCATGGAAACCCAATTTGACACGTGTAAAAGCAGCGTGCTGCTATCACCGGTGAAACAGGGCCCAGCTCGCAGACGCCACTCGAGAACATAAACACTCCAGGAAAGTCTTAACCGCGCCAGAAACGCAACGCTTAAAGTACTGTCAAACACTACACACTTGATGTGCAATAATAATGTTGTCGGCACTTACGCCTGCCATACAACACAATTTCCGCACATTTGCTATAGGTACGTGAGGTCATTAAGTGGCTCACGTGTCCATAACGCATGAGTAAATATGCCGGGTTATCAACAGGTAGTGATCATTACTCAAAGGTAATGCGAACCCGCGCTTGTCATTACTTACACAGGTGTTGTGTTGTTCGCCTACATCAACGATATTGACACACACTATTAACATTGACCTTTCACTTTCTAAAGTTTTCATACCATTTGCAATATGCACCAGTATAACGCCTTTTGGGGCGATTAACGGAGCGAGCGAGAGGGTGGGCCTTGCACGTGCGAAATTGCGAGGGGGTACCTCCAACTGACTTGTTCACGGCACCTTACTAACCGGTCTCTAGCGATGTGCCAAATTTGAGCACAATCGGCCCAGCCGTTCTCGAGATCTGGAAGCGGCACCCTGCACGTGCGCACGTGCAAAATGGGTCCCACCTGACTTTTGTACGGCACCCTACTAACTGGTCCCTAACCGTGTACCAAATTTAAGCGCAATCCGTCCAGCCGTTCTCGAGATCTGGAATCGACCCCTGCACGTGCGCACGTGCAGCAGCACCCCAACTCTGGCACATGGATATGCATTGCCTAATGGGTGCCTACCTACATGCCAACTTTCAGCGCAATCGGCCCAGTAGTTACCGAGATATTGCAACAATTACAAAAGTGACACCTCTTCGTTTTGCACGTGGCACGTGCATAGGGGGTCACCCACATGCATCGAGAATAGTCCAATACTTGGTAGAAGGAATGAAGCTACCCTACAAAAATTACCGCATGTAAATCGGTCAAGTGGTTCCTGAGATATAAGCGTCGCAGAATCGTGACCACGGCCGGCCGGCCGGCCGGCCGGCCGCTCATACTCAGAAATTTCCGTTATTCTACGTAAGACTCCGCTCGCTTCGCTCGCTCCGTAACAACACAAATATGACATGTTGTATGCTCGATAATATGTCAAATCATAGGTGAAGAAGCTCAATTCAAAAGGTACAACCAAAGTTACAAAAAGTCGAAAGTTAGATTGATGCGTAAATACGCAAATGCACACCTGGCACCTGCGCATTTGCCGTCAATGTTGGGTTATCGAGCGCGATTCCTGAGCGGAACTTTCGGCTGATGTTAAACCTAACCCGTAACATGTCAGAGTATCACGTTATACCCACGTGACGTGCATACATGCATGCATGACGTCATGGAAATAAATAATATCTTGACGTTCGTGACATGTTATGACAGTAGGACGTAACACTGCGTTGCGTATTTTTGTGAGCTATTGTAGCTTCGTGACGCTCAACAGTTTGTGCTTTTCTATTCAACCCGCCTGACTCAACGGATTAGCGACTTCACCACGAGTGGAAGATTAAACCACAAGGAGTTAGAGGGTTGTACATTTTATTTTCGTCGGCGGGGTTGGAATGACTTGAAATTGCTTCTTGTTGCTGGGCGGGCATTGTGAGATAGAGTGGGAGAGAGGCAGAGCGGCAGCAGACAGACAGACAGACAGACAGACAGAGAGAGAGAGAAAAAAAAATAGAGAGGGAGAGAGAGAAAGAGAGAGATATATGGGAGAGAGAGAGGGAGGGAGGAGGGAGCGAGAGAGAGAGAGAGAGAGAGAGAGAGAGAGAGAGAGAGAGAGAGAGAGAGAGAGAGAGAGAAAGAGAGAGAGAGAGAGAGAGAGAGAGAGAGAGAGAGAGAGAGAGAGAGAGAGAGAGAGAGAGAGAGAGAGAGAGAGAGAGAGAGAGAGAGAGAGAGAGAGAGAGACCAGCGGGACTGAACATCATCTTCAGAAACAGGAACACATATTGTTCTTGAAATCAAATCGTGTCACAAGGCACAAGCACGTCTTACCTTACAGTTGTGTCGTTATTGTATGCTTATCAATTTGAGCGTGTTATGCTCATTGAAGAAGGCACTGCTATTTCAAAAAGAAATAGGCGTTTACCTATCCCTTTGGGCGAGCCCCTGGATAGATACAGCCGTTGATGAACCATTTATAGCAACTTTTTATAACATGGATAGGATATGCAATGGATAGGATATTATTGGATAGTATCTATGTGGCTGCATATTTTCCATTTATGTCTGCATGTCCATTTGCTTCACCTAGCACTCTTCCGCGCAGGCAGTTACGGACATAACCATTATTGAACGGGACAGGGCTTATAATTGGCCGTCACTGGAAATATGGCCTAGGTCGGTCGTACTGCGTCTTTCTGTGCTATATTATTGCGTGAGTGCTGTCGCATTAGTTTATACAACCGGTAGTCGATATTTTAGGCCGCTTTATGCATGGGAGTTTGAATATTCGACAGATTTTTATTCTCAACTGTTTTGCATTTTGAAGGCTGAAATGAAGTATTACCAATAAAGTATTGCAAGGGTAATGTATTGGACTTTACCTTGCAGGATCGATGCTTGCTCAATCTATGCAACGTTTTTAAAACAAGCAAATACGAGTATATATGGCATAAAACGTATGCATGACCTATCATGCTAGCTATCTTTGTGTCGTTATGATGATGCTTGATAGTACAGGGTGTTTCACTAAAAGTGTCAAAAAGTAAATGCTTATTAAAGATATATAGAATATGCAAATCACGTGGCTGCGCACATGGCTTTGTTGCAAATTTTTGGACATTTATTATTTATCCATTTAAGATATATTTTACACTCATACGGAGCGAGGGCAGGAGGCCAAAGTTACTAGTCATTTTTTCCTTATGCAGAACAGGAACAGTTATTTACACCGCAACAGGAGGGGTGAATTACACTTATGTACATTTGGTGCCATCAGAAACATTGAAACCGTATGCCGACTTTTCAGGAAACTTGTTACTCTCTCACCTCGCTACGTTCCAGATTATAAAAGTTTCAAAGGGCTTGTTGAGAGGTTTAAAAGGGTTCCTTCGATGCCGGTTCCAGTCCAAAAAATGCGGGGTTGCCCCCACCTCTCGGCGGAAACCGTTGAGAAGGTCAGGGTCTTTTTGAGGGCCTTTGAAGATAACAAGAAGCTAATTCCAACATCAGAAATAGCCAGGGCCTTACAAGTTATTCAATTCAACCACTGTAACGGCTGTAGCCACCAGGAACTGACTGGACCAGAAGCTCCTGGACCGAATAATCAGCTGCCTCGCCGCCCGCCCCTGGCCAGCGCGAAGCCTCGATCTGTCACCGCTAAGCCTCTGGTTTGGTCAGTGACTCAGTAGCTCTCGCAGAGCTGAGGAAGACTCAAGTCGCATCACTTCGGGAGCTGAAGAGCACAATTCAAGGCTTTGCCGACAGTCTGGACGCTGAAGATGAAAACGGGCTGTGAGGCACCTCCGGACACGTGCCGAAACGGTGCATCAAAAGAAGGGGCAGATGTGTGGAATAGGTTTGAGTGACGGTGATATCGTTTTTATATATTCAAATGTCCAACAATTGCGGATAAAATGATATGCAAATTTCCTTAGAAAACATTGTTATTATGTGCATTATGACCTTTTACTTTTTGACATTTTTAGTGAAACACCCTGTAGGTACTTTACTTGTGGTACATTCGTAGTATATCTAGGAATGGTTTTGCAATAACCTGTGAATTGTGAAAATCATCGAAGAGAGTGATTGTGCAACGTGCGCGCGCGCGTGCATGTGTGTGTGTGTGAGAGAGAGAGAGAGAGAGTTAGAAAGAGCGAGAGAGAGAGAGAGAGAGAGAGAGAGAGAGAGAGAGAGAGAGAGAGAGAGAGAGAGAGAGAGAGAGAGAGAGAGAGAGAGAGAGAGAGAGAGAGAGAGAGAGAGATAGAGCGAGAGAGAGAGGGAGGGAGAGAGAGAGGGCGAGGGAGAGTGAGTGAGGGAGAGAGAGAGAGAGGGGAGTGGCATCTGGTAGAAAACAAAATCACAATGAAAAACAATGAAGTTTTCACAATAATAAACCCAAGTCGGCATCTGGCCCATTTCTTTACCACACATGCATGTATTCGCCGCCGAAAGTCACCATTCCATTATTAGTTCGGGCCCATTGCCGGTTTGTTTTGGGGAAGTCAAGGTCAGGAACTGCCCACCGTTGTGTAAGCACTCGCTTTGCCTGAGCTATTTGTTGGTCCGTCATTGTTCATCTGTG